GGTTCACTTGACTCAATGATCGCATCAATCATGATATCCAGTCCTCAACCATCTCAAGGCATCTAATGATCTGTAGTAGTTGGTACAAATAAATCAAAATACTTTCAACGAAAAATCCATGTGAAGATAGATAGGTGAATTAGTTAAAGCTAATAACAAAGTACTACGATTTAAATCCAACAAATAAGACGAATGGCTGAGTTTGAGTTTTAAGACAAAGGGTTGTTTTTTTTTCTTTTTAAGGTTGATGTGTCATGGAGAAGAGTGGTTATGTGTCAATTCTTTGTAAGAGACACTCAATTTTTATATATAGGATAATTAGAGTCGTGCCTATCCAGTGGAATTTGAAACATTTGGTTAGGACATCATTTCATATAAAATTTAGGGGCATGCTGACAAATATATTTATTTTATAGTTTAGCAAAAAAAAAGCACTTTATTTTATATTGTGTAAGGTTTTTTTTTTCTAACTACATAGAATCACAAACGGATACTCGCAAACATAAAGTTAAGAAACGCTAAAACGAGTTTTTAAGAAAAAAGAGGAAACGAAAACGTTTTGGAAACATGTATATATCATGAAACAAAAATATCAAAAGTAAAAACCTATTAAAAAAATAATTAAAAGAACACAAGTCCAATACACAAATATTAAAAGTTTATCTAAAAGATAAAGACAACATTCAAAGTCAATTGTGTTTATAAAAGAAAAAATGTGAGTGTTTTATAACTAGGTTTTAAAATTTATTAATAATAATAAATAAATCTTTATTTTTCAAAGTATTTATATAATTTTTTTTAAAATCAAAAATCGCGTTTCCATCGTGTTTTCAAAATGAAAACAATGTTTCCATCGCATTTCCAAATTAACAATTTTAAAAAACGTGTTTCCATCGCGTTTTTCCACGTTTCCGTTTCCGAACGGGAAACATATCTTGGTCGAAGTTTCCATGCAATCTAGGTTTTTTTCTTTATAAATATCTACCAAAAACCCAAAGTTAAAACTATTTCTTCTAAAACGTTTAATTATTCTTTCTTTATACTTAACTTCACACTTTTTTAAATTTAACTTTGAATATTATTTTCCCTAACTTATCATTTGTTTTAATCAAATTTAATTCCTCTTTTTATTCTTTACAACTTTAATTGTACATAAAATTTTATATATAAAATGACGTATTTCGATATCATAGT